CGTTTCAAGAGAATTATAAAAAGTGCTATAGAATTGAAGTATTATAGCATTTAAGACAAGCTATTTTCATCCTATTACAACTCTTTAGCATGGCTACGATACAGATTAATATTTTTTTTCCTTGTTATGTTCATACTCTTGTAACTTTTTAAAATTATTATTGATATCCTTTTCAATTCATGCAAATAAATAGTAATTCTGAGATATGTGATATATCTAAATAGGAACATTCAAATTAAAACATAAAAACATTCAACATATCAATTGTTGTCAATATCTACCAAGCTGGCAATAAAATTACGTCTACAACATAATTCATACAATGTCCAAAACCTTAACATTCAAAACAAGTAAAGAAAATAGAGAAGTCATCTCCAAAACATCTAAGTGCAATGGTGAAGTAAATTCTTCCATCTTGACAAAATGCTTCAACAAAAAAGTTATCTCCACTGTTTATAATTAGGAAAGTAAAATAAGTACTCCAATGTGTTAGAAACATAATCATAAAATATTCTCATATGAGAAAGGTGACAGAAGAAGAGATTTCAAGACTCCATTAATGATTTCAAGGACGCATTTTCTGCCCAAAATCAATGCGGGATTGTATTAATTTATCTATCATCTATAATTGAATAACTCCAAAATCTTTAGTTATATTACATCGTTTCAACCCATCAATTTCTCAAAAAATACCCCACTAAAATGATTTCCCAAGTCAAATTCCAATGACAGAAATGAGTTTACCTCACAAAGAGCCACGAGCATTAAACAAGAAGATAGTTCACTCGCTTTGTCTCGGATGTAAGTCACTAAAAGCTTTTGCCTTTGTTCATCAAGACCCTTTGACTCTATAAGATTAATCTGAGGTGACTCGTTGGGATACTATCACCTAAAAAAAAAAAAAGACAAAGAAAGAAATAAAAGCAAAAATCGGAAAATAAAATTCACATAGCTAGAGATATCAAAATATCCAAAACGTCTAGCCAAGTGAAATGGTTAAGTAAATAATCCATCTTGACAAAATGCTCCAACAAAAAGGTCATCTCCTCCAGCAAAACAACTATTGACCTGTCACAAAATTAGTACAATTAATTAATTAAAACTCTAAATGACATTCACAACCAGTGCTGAACTTTCAGGCGGCAGGCATGCCCGATGCCCAAAAATTTTTGAGCACTTCGGGCAGGCCACTTTCGCCGCCCGAACACGGTTTTCTTCGGGCACGGGCTCGGGTAGCCCGAAACTATTAATCCCCCGACAGCCCGCCGCCGTGGAGAAGCCGTCCCCCGCCGTTCGCCGGATTTTTTTTGAATTTTCCAGCAATACCCAAAACTACCCGAATTTGTGCTCGAATTTCTGTGACCGTTGCCCAAATTTTTGTGACCGTTGCCCAATTTTTGCCCGTTGCCCGAAAAATGCTCGAATTTTGAAAATAAGGGTCTTTTTGCCCGAACCTAAATTTTGCCTGAATTTTTGAACCAAACGGTCAGATTTTATACCGTTGCCCGACCTGCCCAATTTTTGCCCGAATTGCCCGAAAAATTTGTAGCCGTTGGACCCGAATTTTTTGGGGAAAAATTTTTTTTTTCAACCTAACAATTTTCCTATAAATACCCTCCCTCTCCCCAACCATTTTCTTCACCCCAAAACTCTTATTCTCTCTCAAATTCTCTTAATCTCTCTTAATCTCTCTCAAATCTCTCTTAATCTCACTTAAATCTCTCTCGAATCTCGATCTCTCTTAAGCTCTCTCAAAGCGCTCTCAATCTCTCTTACTTTTCATAATGACTTCTTCTGGTTATGATGGTGATATTCCCATTGATGCCCAAATCAACATCGAAGAAAGGCAATTTCTTAATGTTTTTTAAACGCAGGAATCGCAAACTATGAAAAGAGTTGCTAATGAAACTGCAAATCTGACCCCTGGTGGACTTACTAGAGGTCGGGGACTCAATGGTGGTGGCACAAGTGGCCGTGGAAGAGAGGCAAGCGGTAGTGCAAGTGTTGCAAGTTCTAAAAAGAAATGCAAGCGCACCTCAGCAGTTTGGAAGCACTTCAACACATTCGAGGACGTCGACAATAACAATAACATTAAATACGTAACTCAATGTAAATATTGTGGTGAGAAATTACAAGGTAATACTATTCACGACACTACACACTTAAGAAAGCACTCTGAAAAGTGTCTTCAAAAGCAAGGAGGCAAAACTGATCTCCGCTAAACGCAATTATCGTTTGACCGTCAAACCGGCGGACTAAGCACGTGGAAATACGATCCGCAAGTTGATCGTATGGAAATGGCACGATTAATAGCCACATTAAATCAACCACTAAGTTTTCCTGAATAAAGAAATTGGCAACGTTATATTAAAATTGTACATAATCCTAATGCACAATTTTTTTCTAGAACTACTCTTAGGAAAGATGCATTAAAATTATATAAACAAGAAAAAGAAACATTAATCAACCTTCTACACTCTACTAGTGGTTGTGTTGCGTTAACGGTGGGTATTTGGTCCGCCATTGCCAACAAAGATTATTTAGCTGTAACTGGACTTTATTATAAAGGTGTTGATTTGAATAAGAGAATCTTAGGTTTCAAATGTGTTATAGGATCACATACTGCCAATTTAATATATAACACAATTTTATCTGTTATTGATGAATATAGTTTAAGAGATAGAATAATGGTCATAACATTAGATAATGCAACTGCGAATACTAAAGTAATAGAACTTTTTCAAAATAATTTAAGTTTATTCAGTAATAATGTTATTTTCCACCAACGTTGTGCATGTCATATAATTAATTTAATAGTAAAATCCGGTTTAAAATCAATGTCAAGTCATATTAAAAGAATTAGAGATGACATTGCTTGGATTCAAAGTAATAATCAAAAAATACAAGATTAGTTTAGATTTCTACAAGCATGTAATCAAAATCCTAGAGCATTAACCTTAGATATGCCCATAAGATGAAACTCCACTTACATAATGCTTGAACAATGCATCCCCTATAAAGATGCTATAACAAATTATGTTAGTGCAAAATCAAGAACATAATTTATAGATGAAACTGATTGGTAAATTGCCGAACTTTTGTATAACTTTTTAAATAGATTTCACGAAGTTACCTTAAAGTTTAGTGGAACTTATTACCCAACTTCACCATTAGCATTAAGAGAACTTTTAAGAATGTCTATTTTATTTAGTGAATTTAGACACACGAGGTTTTAGGAGTTCTTATCGCCTCTATGGAAAAGAAGTTTAAAAAATATTAGTCTAAATTACCTAATGTTGTATGGTTTCGGTGTTATTTTTGACCCTAGATTAAAATTAGAAGGTTTAGAAAGTGGATTAGATAACTTAGATGAATTTTTAGCTATCGACACTACTGACCAATTTCCTATTATAAAAGAAAAAATATATTCTCTATATATCTCTTACGAAAATAGGTTTAGAAACACACCTCGTGTTGACCAACCGCAACGAGACGACAATCCGCATTCATTTTTGAATGTTTTCGGATTGTTTAAGAAGAAGAAGAAGACGACGACGAGTGAAGGTCAAGAAGAATCTGAGAGTGGAAGTGGATCTTCATCAAGAGGTGGCGGCGGATTCAATGAGTTAATGGCGTACCTGAGTGAATGCTTAGTTATAGACAGTAGTGAAATGTTTGATTTGATTGAGTGGTGGATGGCACGAGCATTAACTTGACCGATCTTAACACGACTGGCAATGGATATTTTTTCGATCCCGGTCTCCACTGTTGCAGCCGAACAAGAATTCAATACAACCGGCCGAATACTTGAAGAACGGAAAAACGCATTACAGCAGGATATTGTTGAAGCTTTAGTGTGCATCAAGGATTGAGATTGTTCCGACCAACGCTTACACGATACAATCTCACCGACAAATCAAGAATGGATCGACAAATTTAATAGATTAACTTTTAATTTTCAAGACGATCCTTCTGCTTCAAATTAAATTTTATTATTCTTATTTGTAAATATTTATTTACTTTATAATTTCTAATTTGTATAGTGTTTATTGTAATCTTGTATAGACTTTATAAATTCATCAAATTTATAATTCGTCCCACAATGATTGCACTCTTTTTTCCTTACCAAGTTTTTATCCCAATTGGGTTTTTCTTGGTAAGGTTTTTAACGAAGCAATCGTGAATTACAAATTTAAAAACCAATGAAGAAGTAATTTTTTTTATATAATTCGTGTGTTCATTTCAAATTTCAAATTGTAATATACACATTGTAATTATACAAATACTATTACTTATACAACATAAAAATATAATATAAAAAAAAAAATTCAGGCAGCCGGTCAAGCATCAGGTAGCCCGACCAGGCACGGGCAAGCATCCTCTGCCCGAAGCCCGTCCATGGGCAATTTCGGGTCGGGTCGGGCAGCCCGAATTTTTGGGCATTTCGAGTTTGGTCATCGGGCAAAAATTCTGACTTTTCAGTGGTCACGGGCGACCCGTTCAAAGTTTCAGCACTATTCACAACCTTTAAGTCTCTCCACTTCCCTAACCAAATTCATACCCTTCACTGGCCAAAAGTAAGTATCAACATCTCATTTGAAACTTCACAGCGCCAACCTTAGTTTAAACTCTAAATTCAGGACTAACCACTTCATTCATTTTGTTGTTCAACTTTAGTAAAACTTCATCCAACAACTGAACAAAGTATGTATTGACCTGTAGGAAATAACAAAAGCCAACAAAATAACAAAATGAACACATACTAAATCAAAAATCCAAAAAAAGTTTCTAGGCAACTAGTGGAGGGTAAGAGCGTCAAATCCATAAGCACAAAGATGAGAATACATAAAGCGAGGGACACACTGATTAAAGCATCTCACAACCAAGACAAACATACATAGGTTTAGGATGATAAACATTATGCAAATTATAAGCATCATTTCATTGAACATCATAGATATAGATTTACCAAGACAAATAAGAATTATTTAAAGACAAACCTGAAGTCTTGTCTTGAAGACCAAGTGGATTTGTAGAAATAGATGTTGCAGCTTCAACACCAAAAGCAGCTATCATATTAGCACTAACTGAAAGTTGATACTAGTATATTCTATAAATCTCACACACCCAAGCACAATAGGAACTCATAAGTTAATGGAACAAGAACCAAATTAAAAGATTCTATAAATCTCACACACCCAAGCACAATAGGAACTCATAAGATAATGGAACAAGAAACATATTAAAAGAGAAAAAAAAAAGCTTTAAAGCAAACTAAAAACTTCCTTAGGAATGAAGAGTGCATCGTCTGCACAGAGAATAACCTTCTGTGAGTAATCATGAAGAGTGCATCGCCTTAATGAAAGCATGCAAGATTGCCACATGAATGCAAATTCTCCAACATCTTTCCTGATGCTTTAAATGGCTATTTGAATATGGTATGGTTACGAGACCAATATGGAAATTTTTAGACTTCAAAGGATTCAAAAATTGCCCACACTCAACTACAATTTACAAGTACAAATGAAGGTCAATTGCTCATTTTTATGACCTCAATGCAGTCGCCCTCTTTCCAAATCTGTATTGGGCTACTGGACGAACCAAGAAGCTTCCCATTTTCATCAAATAGACTATAATGTGCATCAACTTTTAACAAGTCTAATGTCTGAATATTCAAAGTAATTAAGCACAATACGATATAAGAAAGAACAAAATTTTTTTCTTCAAAAGAAGAAAGGAAAGTTAAGATTCAATCTTGGCACAGTTGTACATTGTCTTGTGATGATGAAATGAGAATTACAACCACCTCTCTCTCCAACCTTTAGAAGTGTCTTTTAACCGAGAGAGAAAAGGACAAATCGAACAATATCATGGAAATTAACACACTTTTCATAACATCAGGCAATAATATGACGCACGCAAATAACGAGACTAAAGCATTAATAACTCCGAAATGCAAATCAAAGTACATTATCGAGCTATTGAGCTTAATCTCAGAAAATACAAAATTTCAGAAAGCCTAACACAAATGCACAAAAAAAAAAAAAACACATTCAATGTATAAAATAGAACTATTAATCTTAAACGCAGAACATACGAAGTTTCAAAAATCCAAACACAGAAAGGCAAGAGAGAAACGAACATTTCAATGCATAGTACAACTGTCGAACCACAAACAACGAATCATAAAACTCATCAAAAAAAACCACAGCCAAACTATAATCTTAATCTCAAAACTTACGAGTCAAAAGTCCAAACAAAGAAATGCAGAGGAAAAACAGAAAGAGAAAAGAAAAAACCGCAATCAAGCAATTAGTCGTAATTGCAAAAGATACGAAGTTTTAAAAATCTAAAACACATTAGAAAGGCAAGAGAAAGAAACAAACGTTTCAATGCATTTCCACAAACGTCGAACCACAACACCGTCAAACTCGTCAAGAAAACCGCAATCAGACAACGAAACCTGCGCAATTTCCACAATTCAAACACACAGAAATGCATCGGAATGAGAGATAGGTTAGAGGTAGAGACCTGCATTAGCGCTGCCGGTGCTGACGTCGACACCGAGGAAAACACATAAACACATAAATCATCAAAATGAAAACACGTAAACACATAAATCAAATATCCACAATGAAGTGGATTCTCTGAACATGAAAAAAACAAAAAAACAAAAAAACAAAAAAACAAAAAAATTTATTTGCTGAAGAAATGGGGAATGCCTATAAGGCTAAAACGGTGCTGAGAATCTCACTTCCCGAAGGCCAAATTTGACGAGGAGGAAGAAGAAGAAGACTTCACGAAAAATAAACAGAAACCATATTCCTAAATTTCCCTGAAATCCAAACCATATTCCTAAACACAAATTAAACCATCGGTTCAAACTCCAAACACAGATCAAATCATCAAAACGAAAACAAAAAATAGACAGGGGAAATACCTGAAACCAATCTGCCGAATGCAAGAAATCTGACTTCCCGAAGGCCAAATTTGACGAAGAAATGAGAAGAACAAGCCTTCACGAAGGCCGATCTGACGAAGAAATGAGAAGAACACAACTTTTGTAAGGCCGAATCTTAAGGAGAGATGACGGAGATGAAAGAAGAAGAAGCAAGGCCGTAAGGGTGGGTGACTT